TGATACCTTGCCTCACKGGATCAAAAACTAGAGTCTGTATCCCGSGAGGCACGGGATCACTGAAGTAATAACACARGTAACCCACATTTTGCTAAAACCGCGCGCCGATAACAGTACTAGAGTAAAAGCGTGCGCATCGTGCGCATTCGTTTTTKTCCTTCTTTCAAGCAWTAGTTGGGCGGCCTCTGGTTTCGACGAAAACCGTCACAAGGGCGGATCCAGCTGAAATTTTAAGGGGTGACTAAATGGTTTTAGGGAGGCTCAATGAACTTTATTTGTTTTATTTGTTACACACAACATTGAAAATGATAAARTACCTTTTTTTGCTCAGCCGAGGATCCGACTCCCTTTTACAAATTGACAAATAATGAAAACCTTGTGACCAGCTTTGGGTCACTTTCAGTTCTCTTGACTTTTTCCAACTTGAATATCTGAATAACAATGAATTAAATTTGTATAAAAATAAATACAATTAATATTAAGTGTTGATTAACATAAAACTGATAAAAATCTTTTATTTTCTATAAAAAAATGTTATCGTAGCAACAGTTATAGATACGCCTTTACGGCGAACGCCAAACGTCAAAACTGATCACGTGATCACTGTTTTTCTGTATTAAACGCTCCGTTCTTTCGCGATTGTGTATAAAATAGATCACTTTTTTGTGCATAAGCGCATCACTATTCCTTTCGAAGCGTTTTTACGTTTGTTTGAAATTTTGAGACACAGCAAAAACCAAATTGACGTTTAGCGTTTGCAGTAAACGTGAATCTAAAACTCTATTAATGCGCGAGTTCGCAATGCAATTGAACTAATGACTGTATTAAGCCATTTTCAAAAATATAATGAATACGGTACTCCGAGCGGCGCTCACTAGTTCATTCAAGCTAAACATTCTAAAGAAAAAGTCACAATAATTGCCATACTCATGGACTACTAGATCATGTCATTCAAGGCTGAATGTCTATTATGTATCAATCGTATAAGAAGAATTAAAATATTGGCCCTAKAATCGAGCTTTTGGTGGCTGATCGGAAGGGTCACTGCGCCACTCCATTCCCAAAATAGCTTCTTCATAAAATTCTCGAAAACCACCAGTGATATAGCGAATCGTGCCATAATGCGAATGAATTTTGATCGAAGACTTTACAATATCAATACGATTTACATTATCTCGCCTACATTGCAAAATAGACAGGTAATTGAGAGAACCAAACTGACATAATAATATAACAATAAACTTCCAGTAATATGATGGATGTGTATTGAAAATGATGATTACTTAAAATGCGTACATTAGCTTTTGAAATTGTCGTGAATCTTTGGCAAAGCAGATGTTTTTAGCATTCTCCGGCGTCAATCCCGATCCTTCACCAGTGAAACTGAATGATTATTTGGACCGGCGGTGACAGACTTCTGCGTACTAGGTAATTTCCTATATAACAAAGTAATCATCTTTTTCTTGGCCGGCGTCCCATTCCGTTTTTAATTCAATTCAATTATTCACTTTCCGTCATACGTTTTGATGAAAAAGATTTCAGTATTAAGCATTGCCTTATCAAAATTAAAACAGTTATATGTACCGAGTGCTTGACCAAACTATGAATTCTCACTGCATCAGACGCAATAGAAAGAAGTTTTTTTTTACAATTCTTCGAGAAAAAAATCATTCCAAGGGTTCCTCTCTAGTATTATTATCTTTTTATTGCATATTGATAATGTTATTGGCTAAATAGGTACTTATAGGGATTATAAGTCAAGGTTCGGCTTGTCTGATCAAAAGATCGATCACTTGAGCACTCACCGCAGAGAACGTAGCTAGGTAAGTCATGATTACCGCGTTTTTTGTTGTTACACTGACGCTGATATAACCTTTATATATAGCTCTTTATATCACGAATTTGTTATCGTTAAACAGTTTCTTATCACTTGAAAATTGTTAGATAAGGTTKTTAATTATAACTCACCAGAAAAGTGAGATATTACTTGAATTAATTTTATCTATTCTGGTAATGTTCAGATCTTCGAAATGAAATTCGTGCGAATTCATAAAAACAAAAGCTATACAAAATGAAACGAGACAAAACAACAGCAAAAAGAACAACTAAAAAAACATAGACACCACGAAAAACAACGAATTTAGGAATTTCAATACTTAGTATAAAATATTAATTCCAAAGAGTCAGAAATAGAAGTTGAACTTTACTCAGTGAGTATATGATTATTCTCGGTTATTTCCGTACGTATTTTTCCGTACGTATTTCGTAAATYCATAGTATGACATTAATAACCAATGACTTTTTAACTCGACCTTGAAGACTTGAATTGGATCATGAATTTCTTTTCTTACATAAGGATGCATGAAACTTGTTCCTCTTGTTGCTTATAAAAGAAGTTGTAAGTGTCATTCAGCTCATCATACGGCATCCTTATATATATATATAAAATAATAACAAAAAACTTTGACTTTGACAGTTGATATTAGTCTTATATTTAAAAAGAGTCAGGCCTGTAAGCTGAGGTTCGGGGGGCTTTAAAGGTCCCGTGTTTCTCTTAATTTTWTTGTTCTATTTYTAAATTCTTTTGTTATGAACTGTTTTTTAGATAGTATTTGTTATGAACTGCTCATAGTTCATATAGTAGCAGGCAGTTCGTACAGACTATACCTGTGCACTGAACAGTTAAAAGTTTAATTTAGGTCCGCATTATGAAAAACGGACCCCCCCAACTTACGGGCCTGCGAGTAGAGGGTAAATACACTTCTTAGATTAATTACTCTAGTTTAGCTTGATGATTTGGGCAGAGGGCACACCTCCATCCGTGAGAGCCAATCAAGACAACTGCTAACAAAAATATTCACTTGAATGTACTCACCTTTGCTTCCTCACCATATATCCTCTTCAAAGTGAGTAATGACCCTTGAAAATGAAGTTATTTTCAGTCTATTATCACGCATTCTTCTTATCTGAAAAGCCGTGCAGTGTACCAAGGTTACGTTCACTGTTATATATAATGACGCTAACCGGCCGGCACATTATCATGTTGTGATCTTCGCCTCGAATAGAAGAAGACGAATTTATGTATCATTAGATAGATTGAAAAGTGTTATTCTATGATAGACTCACTTAACATTAAAATTACTTCTTAAGTGTTTATTCAGTAATTATTTCGGATATTATGCCGCCACTAACTTAACAAAGGGCCGGGTTGTAGAATAGTCACCTTACCCATTTCAAAATCATTTGGACTATGATCGCAAAAAGGACACTCTCGTATACTCCTGATTACAACAATTTTCAAGTTCTTGCGTGATCGATTGCTTGTTATATCCCGCATTTGTTTCTAAAATGTTGTTGCTGCTTGATTGCTACTTCATAACCCTAATCCCTAATCCCAACCCTATCCAAGTAATAATCCGCTGCTCACAAGAAAAATTCTCAACTTCTTTCTGCTGAAATAACTGAACGCACTGAAGTCGCATACTTGAAAGGGCAATTCGATGTTCCTAACATACGGCTTTTAATTTGACCAACAATGATTGCAGATGGTTTGTCGCTTTGTTTAATCGTGAAATTACAACTACTAAGTTTGTAATATTTTTCAACGGCATTCAACAAGAAAAAATCTGAACATAAAAAATACCAATAATGTGAGGAGGACCACGCCCGTTGCTAAGTGGTCAGCAGTAATTAGCGCGCATAACCTTGGCTTTTATGATACTGAAACCGAAACAAAAAACAAATGGTTCGTCTGAGTGATGTGACGATTAATAATGAATCTCATCGTTTTTTTTTTGACATAAAGAAATCTAAAATACAAATGGGAATGAACGAAAATGAGAATTATTATTCCATTTTGAATTATGACAGTGAAATATGAAGATGATAGCTACATAGAAGCCTGTCAGTTTGATTTTGAAATGTCATTTTGAGTTTTTTTTATTGTTTTTTTTCTTTTTGTATTCAGTTGTAAGGCATGTACATCTCTTTAAACATAGCTTTAACGAGAAAGACTAGCTTTCTAAATAGCTTCGTATTCTCGTAATTAGCAGTTCACTTTTTCTCCTCGGGGGGTCTTAAGTTCAAAGTGCGGGGAGGTTCGAAAGGGTTTTTAGGTTATTCTTCACTTCCAGCTAGTCAACGGTTTTTCYACATAATCTAATAGTAAGAACAAAAAGCGAAATGCTACGATATACCACTGACCATATATTTTTKCTTCCTGAAACTTTCCCGACATTATATTAATTGAATTAATTATTCATAATTTTCGTGTTTTTGAAGATAGACTTTATTTTTTAGTCACCTACCAGGAAAATTGTTTTATTTTTCTTGAAATAAGATAAAGAGGCTTGAATCCAGAGGAAGAGCAACAATCAAGTGTGCGAAATAATAACTAAAGGCAAAAGAAAGCATCAAACCTGTGTTTTGTTTTATTYAAATAGTTATGAGGTAGGTGAAGAGACATTTTGTCGATATCTTATCCCTGTCTTCTCCGTTAAAAGAAAATATCCTGTACTCCTTGTAAAAAAAGGCTGGTGATAAAAACAGCAACAATACATACACTCACTTCCATAATGATTAGAATTTTAAATGCATGACAAGCAGCGCTTCACCTGTTCAAGGTCTGTACCTTACTAGATTATTAACAGAAATAGCTATTGCGTGTCGATTCATATTCTGAAAACTAATGAGAGTTAAACCAAGACGAAAACAAAACGAACCAAAAAATAACTCATTTCAACTGCTGACTGGAATCGTTTGAAGTACTACTGGAATTCTATTATATGAAATAGTAGTATATCCTGGGGTAACAATAGAGCGCTTCCATGGTTGCTGAACCCACAGTGTAAGTAAAATTATGTTGTTAGTAGTAACGATATCTGTGCGATCAGAAATAGAGGATATTACATGGACGCGCGAAGATCGAGTGTTGAAAACGTGATCTCTCACGAGCGTGGTGAACCAGTGAGAGATTTTCGACACGAGAAGATRAAATTTGTATCTCCAAGCGACCATGTAACATTCTGTTTATCATATAATTATACATAAAGTCAAATTATGTCGTAAAATACCTTCCAATATATAGAAAAACCTCGAATGAGGAACAACTTTAAAATATCGCTAGTAAACAACAACTTTTCGAAAGAGAGAGATGGGTATTTCATAGATAATTATACTGATCTGATAAATTATTTTAATTCTTGAAACCAGAGATCAARACTTAAACCTCAGATCACTAAGTATAACAATATTTACAGTAGAAGTTGTGCAGTTTTGATATCGCAGGAAGTTCGCCATGAGTGAGAATTGACTGCCCCAGACCCAAGGGATTCAATAATTGATCTTTTAAGACATAATGAATCAGTTCCTGAAATCTACCCATTATCATAGTAGGAAACAGGAAGAAAGACATAGAAATAGTGAAGTTTTTTTTCGAGAGTTGTTCGCATATTTTCTCAGCTGATATGAGTTTAATGCGACTTCTGTGACTTCGGTTCTGTTTGTCTTTAGCGACTTCCAGACTAAAACTCAATCAGCGAAAACAAAGCAGTTGAACTTCAATTGGACAATTACGTAGTTAGTATGTATTTAACTGAGGAAAAAATTAACCTCATTAAGAATCAGTACGTCGGATACACTCAAACTTCACTAACAAACAGTTTTGTCAGCCTCTGCTGTAACTAAAATGTTGAAGCTTGAATCTGCATAATTGCATCGGCGAGAGCTCTATGAAAAGCAGACTTGTATTTAACATGAAATATGACGGCGCTGTTGCCGGAAATTTTTGATTTTAGAAATTGAACAGTAACCGCTGTGGTTTATTCGTCTGATGGCGGACTCTACTGAACTACCAGTACTGGAGCATGATGGTAATGAAGAAAACCAATCCMTGTCAATCAAAAAGACTTCCAAGAAAAGAAAAAGAACAAGGTCCGTGTGTTCTTAAATGAATTCCAGCTTTTAATTGTTGCCGCACATATGTACACCAATTAATTAATCTGCTTTAAGACTACTCTAGGACTATGTCTTCCTATAGTATGGTTGTAAAACATCTGTAATTGTGTAAATAAACTGGCACTGAAATACAAAATATTCTGTAAAGTGCATGTGACCGTTTTTGCTACTTATCCTCCAAGAAACTKTCTTTGTACGATTATATTCTCTTACAACAAAATTATGATAAGAACAGTGAGGTGCTGCATTTATTTGTTGATTTGTTTTTTTTTTATCAAGGATCCAGCAAACCATATTTGCACGATTGTCATCAGTTGTCCATCCCTTCAATGCTGAAGAAACAACTACTTGCAAATACAACGCAACTTCACAATGGCATCGGAACTGGATGACGATCAGAATCCTCACTGTTTCCTTAATATTCGTCATCGTCTTGTTTGCTTTTATTTCCATTGACGTCAATACTGCTTTAACTTCGATGGAGAGAGAAAAAACTGTCCAAAGCGCTGTTAAGATAAGCATTAAAATAGCAGACGTGTTGCACGCTTTGCAAGTGGAAAGAGGAATGACGGTACTTAGTATCAGTTCATCGCAGCTTGAGCAGGTCATCAAAAAACTGGAGTTATCCCGCCAAAATACTACTGTAGCTATCCAAAACATACCTGAATGGCCTAAAGTTCTCTCTGACATCTTCCAATCCAAAGACGACTTCATCCAACTGATTGACAGGCACAGAAAGGAAATCGAATATGGCGGAAGCAACTCCACAGTGAAAAAAGAAATCGAGTTTTACACCAGTATCATTCAGACGGTCCTAGACGGGCTATTCCGGACACTAAAGGAGAATTATCCCCGAGACTATAGCTTTGATCTTCTTGGTTATTACATCTTCCTCGTAGCAAAAGATAGTTTTGGTATAGAGAGAGCATTGGGCGCGTCTTTCTTTTCTCTTGGTTACTTCAACGATACCAATGACCTATTATGGTATGCGGAAAAGAACTATATAGGTTTGTATGATCAGCAGTAACACGATCAATTGCATGCACAAGCGTAGTTCTCGAGCTATCTCTTGATCTATCCGATATCATTGTTGTTGTGGAATCTCTTAGGGGTTTAAAATCGGTCAGCGACGCCCTTTTTTCAAGACTTCCGGGATCTTTTAGTGGTATTTTTGAAAATTTCCGACGAGCATCCCCGGTACTTTTACCCCGGAGTCCCCCCCCCCCCCCCCCCCCCCCCCCCCCCCCCCCCCCCCCCCCCCCCCCCCCCAATCCGGGAATCGTTCCATGAAATGTGAAGTGAACCAAATATCCCGTGATTTTCTTCAGGGAAAAGCTTCCTCGCCAAAAGTTTGAACTTGGTGCCTCATCTTAATACTGTCTACAACTCTAAACTAAAGAAAMGAGAGGACGATGTACTTGGAAAGATTGACATACAACGGCAATACATCTTAAAAAATGAACGAAGAACAAAAGATGGGTCGTCGGGATCAGACTGGTTCTCATTGATGTCCATCTATCTTGATGTTTTATTAGAAGTACAGAAAGATGTAGGTGAACACATCACATACCTTTTGAAACGCCTTGTCGAGGAAAARGAAAAAGAAGTCCTCATAGCCGCCTTGATCCTTGTTGCAGTAATGGTGTTAACTCCTTTAATGGTGATTGCTGTAGTACGCATGACAAGCACCATTCAAAAATACGCAGCCAAATTAGAATCCACAACTAAGAACTTAATTGAAGAACAGAAACGAAYAGACAGCGTGTTGTCCGCCATGTTTCCAGAGTCCGTCGCTGAAACTTTGAAGAAAGGTGAAAAGGTGGACGCGGAGTACTTTGATAGCGTTACCGTCTGTTTCATTGACATCGTTAACTTTACAAACATCTGTTCGCTGATTTCACCGATGGAAGTCACATCAATGTTGAACGCCATATACAGGTAAAGTGATCAAACAAACAAATGCGCAAATTAGTAAAACTGATCATTTATAGGAAGGTTGCTGCCACCATCCCCCCCCGCCCCCCACGATTGCCATGAATACCCCAATAAGCTCTATTATATTGGCGATTAAARGTAAGAATAAAGAGTGGTGTTAACATTTGGAGGGAGTCGAAGGGGGAGAGAAGATGGGGAAGAGCTTCCTGGTAGCCTTATTTGGACCGCGTATTGTGGACCTCATATTCCCTTCCCATTCAGATTGGTAGCCATCGTTATGGAACTGTAATCAGTAAGTATAGCGAAACCTTAAAGTGACAAGCTTTTTTTACAAGCGTCTTTCTTTCCAGTGCATTTGATGACACCATCGACACGTATGATGTGTACAAAGTGGAGACGATTGGAGATGCATACATGGTCGTGTCTGGTCTGCCAATCAAAAACGGTGTAAAACATGTCGATCAGATTTGTCGAATGGCCTTTGACTTGTTGCATGTGACGTATAATTTTGAGCTGGTGGAAGTTCCTGGTGAGATGCTTCTCATCCGTGTTGGCATACATACAGGTAATACAGTTCGTACCCAGTCATCCCGCGGTTCACGTCAGTTAAAATAGCGAGAGAAGGGACTGGGTACGAATCTAGTAATATGTTCATCATTGAATTATTATAATCATGGTTAGTATTTCTGTCATCAACGCTTTAAAGTGAGTAAACTTGCATTGCTTATGTACTGGTCCACTCAAGGGCATCAGGATCATTGTACCATACCAATTTAAGATCTGCACGATGTCTATTCATTTCTTACTACAACAGGTTCTTTTGCTCTCTCATAAAAATACACTTAATGTCTATTCATTTCTTACTACAACAGGTTCTTTTGCTCTCTTATAAAAATACACTTAATGTCTATTCATTTCTTACTACAACAGGTTCTTTTGCTCTCTTATAAAAATACACAGATGAAGACATTAAGTGTAAAAAAAGTAATGAACAAAAATCCATTCATAGCTGTGCTAATGTAATTCCTCAGGTCCTTGCGTCTCTGGCATTGTGGGTAATAAGATGCCCAGGTACTGTCTGTTTGGTGACACAATCAACACTGCTTCAAGGATGCAAACTACAGGGCTACGTAAGTATGGCCCAGCAAACTACATAATGCAACACAACTGATTAACTACATATAATTACAAACCTACCAAAAAAACATCAACAATCAATCAACCATCCCTCACCTAAACGATGTGAAAAAATACACCGTAAATGAAGCTTAACCAAACAAGCTGCACTTGAAATGGTTGGAAATGCTATTAGTTCTTGTTATGTTTAGGTAAACAATTTTTACGATTATGGATAAAAGACTGCTGGATCGTATTTGTTTTCATGCGACACGAGAATAAGTTTTTAGAATTTGTCAGATGATAAAGGTCCGGCCATCCCACCCCCACTGACCTGTGTATTATAGCATTTATCTATTTTATCTATTTAAYTATTTTGCTCATGCGGCAACAGCTTTAAACGAATTTAAAGACTGGTTTATAACGGTTTATGACGATTGATAACAATTGTAAAATGCATTAATTGCAGCTCAGAAAATTCATGTCAGCAATGGAACAAAGGAGAAACTTGTCAATTTCCAGGATTCATATGAAACCGAGTTCCGTGGCTACCTTGAAGTTAAGGTGAAGACTGTCGAATTGTCCTCGATTGATGACTTCTGGATAACCCTCCACCCCCTGAAAAATACCACCATGTAGGATAATTGAAACATACGAAGATCATACGAGGGATTTACGAAGGATAGCGACATCTTATCGGACATTATTCAAGAAATGACGGTGATGTAATTCCGAATTACAGCCACGAACACTTACAAGGCGATAGCATAGTGGCCTCGTTCCGAGGCACTAGCCAYAAAAATAGAATTCTTAACCTTAATTCTGAATTATCCTAGTCTAACATGGCAGCAATGAGGTAGTTTGTACCCCAAAACGTATATACAATAACTTTTCAATGCATCAACTAGTGGTACCATGCGTTTTTTTTTTTTAGGGTAAAGGAAAGATGAGGACATACTGGCTTCGCCAAATCGATGCTYTTCCGTCCATTCTTTGAAGAAGTCACTACTAAGTTAAGCGACACGAATCAACAATGAGAGCTACTGATATACTGTCCTATTAATTAAATATCTGTGTACAACAAAATAATATAATATTATTTATCAAATAAAAGCAAACAAATTTTATATCGAGTCGTTGTTAAGCTGTTGTAATGTATTGTATTGTGTCATCCAATCACAAGATAGACGTGGGAGTTGATGGGAAAAAGTACATAGCGAAAGTATCTTTGTCCTTCCCTAGTCTGAACGCCTCACAGGTAAATAAGGAGCAATCTGTATCATCTATCATATTTAGATGGATTTAAGAATTGAGGGCCATGCATGGGCAGAAATAAAATACAATATGGCGGCGAGCATGCGCATTCTTCACGCATTGCTGCTCAAAAGAAAAAAAATACGGATTTATGAGAGAAGAATGACTTGGAAATTATATACAATTCAAGATTAGCAGCCTCTGCGAATATATACATATTTGTTGTTGTTGTTGTTGGCGTCACATCAACTTTTAAAAATGCATTTTTTTTTTCTTTTTAAGCATATCCGATGGGCCCAGACCCCACCAAAATATTTTAGTTTATCAGTGAAATACACCACCCCCACGGGGATGTTCCATGGAGATACGAGAAAAWAWTCACAAGCGCCGTGAATCCTAGAAAATCGTTCGAAAATTGGTCTATTGTTTTACATGAACTGAGTGGATCAATTTGCCGGATCTTTCCCACTTAATAAGCACTCTTGGAGACCAAAATGGAGACCTTCCACGTCTACACACTTGAGAACTCATTTTTTCCGGCATCATAACCCTCTGAGTGGCAAACTAAATTTAACTTCAATGTATCATATWAGATAGATAACTTTATTGGCATGTCGACTTGTAAAGTACAAAACTTTAAGTTATAAGATAACATTGCTAAAATTATAAAATGATTTGAATAATCCATAATAGTATAAATCAAAATATCTTAAATTTTGAATTTTTTTTAAATATCAAAATTTAAATATCAATTGTATAAAAACGAATTCAGTTTCAAATAGACATATATACTTTCAAATGAACACTAACAAGTTTATATGGTTGTCTGTAGTTGTTCTTATTTTGTTTCATTTTGAGCTAAGKGTCGAGGAAGCTTGTGAGATATTGTCGGTTTCTGTGTGAAYGGTAGTTTTTGAAGCACATTTAAAGTCAGTTCTGAAGCACAATTGAGTCAGTTCTATAAACACTTGTTTAACATGAAATTGATAGCCGTCATTCTATAGCCCTGGGAGGGATTTGATGGTAGGTCTAATAGCAGTATAATATATATTGTGGTTTGAAGAACAATTCTTGATCGTTAAATCAATATAAATGCTTGTTGAATTTGTTACGTGTGTCTCACAGTACGTACGTGATAAGGGTACTCTTGGAAGTTGYTTTCTTTCATGTGTTGTTTCATAACACTTTAGACTGAAATTCACCAAAGGGCACTTCATACAATCTGAGATGGGCAATTAGTACACAAGGTAAAGTGGGGTCCATTCATAAATCTTCGGTTAAAATTAAAGCTACAATAACATAGTCTTCATATTGCTCAATTATCTTAGTTGTATTTTTGCAGTTAAGTGAAAATAGTCAGCACTAACTGCTGAAAACCATGCTCACTTAATGTAGAACTGTAGGATGGTAGAGTTGATAAATCCATATACCGTTTTCATCACGAAAATAGTTTCTTTATAGCGAATTAATATAAACTTGTCTGATTGTCAGTGGATGACATGCAAAAAGAGTAAGGCAAAGTGCGCTAAAGTGTGTTTCACGGGCTACTTATACCACTCTAATGATGTTTCACGCGACAATCGTACCGTTTAAATCGGCTCTTAGTTATGTTAGTTTTTAGAGATGATGGCCACTGAAAACCAATTTCAACATTAATTTATTTATCGTTGTCAAGGAAAAAACACTATCAAGGATTAGTAGATATTGGCATTGGTTTTCTCTGTTACTCGTGAAAGTTTATTCGTGAGTCTTTTTGACTCGTACGACTCATGCAATAAGAGAGTAATTAAAAGCCGGGATAAACTTTAAGCTTACTATGATTACAACTAATCAAACCCAGGTTGGGGGTTATATTACATTATCCAGGGTTTAGCACTCTATAAAGACCTGCAATTATAAGTACGTTATAATTCTATATTCAACCCTTTCTTCGCTTTCATTTTTTTTATCGGGCTTCCTGTGGTGACAAACCCGCGCACCCTTCCCCCACATGGCCAGTTCTTTTTCGGCCAAAATCCAAGATGGCTAACCTGTTTTAGTATGMTTTCACTCGATTCACTGTAAAAATTAACAATTTTTGTGAAGAAAATCAACTTTTTAGTGGCTAAAGCTATTCCTATTTCCAGATATGGTAAGTACAATTCTTAATGTGGAAAAAGAAACGACTCAAGCGAAAACAGATGAAAGACAATTCTCTTTCAATCGCAATAATTAGAAAACAAAGAACCTCGCAAACAAATGTTTAGATTTTTTCAGTTCAGTTATCATGGTCGCTTGGAATTCTTGTAAGAATAGCGTTTTATATAGAAGAAAAGGTTTGAGAAATCCTGAGAAAACCTTGGCTTCTCAAATATACTTAAAGTCAAGCCTCGACAGTAAGCCATTAGATTCAATATCATAATATGCCGAGTTATGGACGGTAATTAGCTCTTGACTTAACTGCTAATTTTAAGCCTAGTCTTCTCGCAGCCGTTGTCGTTTTCGTGTGGATAGAAAGGAAGCCTTGACAACTGAGCAAAAATCAAGTATAAAGGTGGAATCGGTAATTATGTAGAAATCAAACTTAAAATGGGAGTGTATTTAGTGAAAAATAAAGAATAAATCTTAAATACAAAACAAAAAAAACTAGGTGAGGAGTGTTGAATGCTAAAACATCCAATGTCAGTGGTCGTGAGTGCGAGCTAGTCCACTGGCTGGGAAACTCGGCGAAGACTTCCAATATCACTATTAAAACTCGTATTTTTCTTGTTTGTTTTTTTAGTTTAGTGAAATTATAACTAAAACCGATCTAATTCTGTTTATTAATAACCTTTCAAAAAATCTCACTGCAATATATTAAATATAATCCATTCAGTGTTCATATTAGGTTTTCTACTATAAACTGATATTCTCTGKAAACGTCTTTGAAGTTGTTCGACAAGTGTAGTTACGCAACAAGATATGTCGACATACCAGCACTTTGCAATACATGACTTCATTTCTTAGTCTCCAGAGTCAATAATTCTTGAGTCTTTTAACTTTTAATTCTCCTTGATAACAACGACTTAATCAACGTATTGACATTAAGCTTTCATGGAGAGTCTCGTCTTAATATCATAAATTGGGCTACTACATTTGGGATCAATCACCAACACTGAGATAGGATTAAATGTGCTTTTGCTCTAATTTTGAGTCACGGGAAACAAAGTTTGAAATTTAGGGTCCGTTAGAGGTTTGGTATGCTATAGATACACTTGTATCTMTCGTTTTACACTATAACTTTAGTAGCTTGTGTCCCCAGGTGATCGGAGAATTTTTGTTGCTTCTTTTCGGAAAAGGCAAAGAAAACCAGGTAAATGTTTGCGTTGTAGAGCCTCGGGATTTCTGAATATCTACTATTTAACTTTTGTTTATATGACTAAAAACTCGGTATATCCAAAAAATGATAATTACTGAAAGAAATTCCATTTGTAACCCGGAAGATGAATTGWACTTTTCCTTAGGTATTTTCTCTCAGATCACAGTGTTTTATCCCACTTTTCTCCCTTCTCGACTTTCGTTTTTTCTTACTGTTTTAGTCATTTGTCACTTTTCTTTTTCTTTTTTTTAATGTTATCAATGTTTGTTTCAGTTAAAAACGGCTTTACATCACTCACTACATGCCTCCCGGTCCGGTAATTCATCGGAGTTTAATTAACTTAAAACGTTAACGACTGAGTTTCCGCTATGACTTCATATAATGAAAAAATAAATTTGGATCATTTTCTAAACTARCTTAACTGCTAGATTGCCGCTGAAATATTACACCGATTACGCTAGCTCTTTATAAGCAAAATGATCATCTAACTTAACGCGGGGCTAGTAAAAAACCATTATTGAACGAGCCTGCGTCTTATTCCAAAATAGCCGATTCGCTTAAAAATGCATATTGGGCACGTTATGCGTGGTTGTATTGCTAGAGTCTAAAATTAAATTTTCAATAAATAATCCAAATCGTTTGGTCAAAATTCTAAGAAAATCAAAAATGAGAGTTTTATCAATGATTTTATCGAAATCGTAACTACACTCAGTGATAGCATGCGTCAAATAAGACGTCAGGTTAGAACGTCATGTACCGTTACCCTATGAAATCCTCATTCCTCCCGTCATTTATTGAAATAAACTACACTATCGTGTTGATTAGACTTTTGTATTTCCTTGCGATTATACAAGAGAGATAGTTTGTCGTCCAGTGCTTGATAGACTATAWGTGAAAGTTTGGAAGTTTTAATCTACCGGGGATTAAAGTCCGATCGATCAGTTACCACGAATAAAATAGAAGACCATTAGTTTGAGAACCAAAAAGCTGGTTATTGTCAGTTTTATAATCCCCGAAGATGGACAAAACCGTTCTGATTTACAAAACGTATTTTGCGATAGATGTCAGGGGAAGATAATGTTCTTTAAATGTTAATTGTTATAAATTCTTACTGTCATATTCCAAGTAAAATTGCCTGAAATCAATTACAAACCGTCAGGTGCTTTATTCGATTTCTCAATTTCAARCTAAATTGATTTATAGAGGATATTACATGGSCKCGCGGAGATACARATTTTATCTTCGAGTGTTGAAAAGATCTCTCACGAGTGAGCGTAGCGAAGAGATTTTCAACACGAGAAGATAAAATTCGTATCTCCAAGCGACCATGTAATATTCTGTTTATCATATAATTACATATGAAAGCAAATTATGCTAAAATACCTTTTTTTCCTTACTTCCACTATATAGAGAAACCTCAAATTTTATGAAATGGAGAAATATAGGTATTTCATAGATAATTATATCATTATATGATAAGTTTTTTATGGGGTTGTGAGCGCGCAGGACGTCTTCAAGTACCTATAGAACCTCGTTCCGGCTTGTCACCTYGTCAAACCGCTAACTGATGATGCATGTACCATATATATATATATACTTGTGATGGTGGTTCAAAAACATTTTAGGAAAGACTACCCTGTAAACGCCATAACAAGCTGTAAGAAATCGAACAATAAGTAGTTGACGTCAATTAACGGCGCTGCGAACTGTTTTCTGTGTACATTAGTAAGTATATGGATCAGTATTGGTCTTTTGCATTTAATKGCTTAAATAGCTAGTGCGCTAAGAATGGGCGCTTTTATGGGCTCAAACGAGACTGACGCTTATATGCGAGAAGAAATGCAAACATTCTTTGCTCTTGAGTTAGTTTTTCTATTTACTATTCATTTTTTTCTATCTAAATGAGCTGAGAGCATCGTGATTATCGCCGCTTAATATGCAAGATCGTTTGCAAGTTAGTTTGCTTATAATCTTACGCTGAAAAACGCGTTATGTGAGGTTAATGCAATTAAAAAAAATGAAAAAATGATTATTAGAATCCGTATGTCAATAGTGAAAAAAAATAAAAAAGTTAAAATATATAAAAATAATAAAATAAAAAATAAGTAGGTTATTCGCCTCAGAAAACGAACACTTTGAATGGATTTTCTTGTGAAGCCAACTTTATCGGTAGAACTTACATTTTATTTCATCTTATATTATGTTTCATCTTATTATTATAAAATGGCGCGTTTTTGAGCTGTCATAGTTTATAATGTTATATTTCTTTTACTACTATTTAAAATAGAATTAAAAAAACAACAATTACGATTGAATGATTACAACAAATATTGTGAAAATGCATTAACATGAAATAGGATAATGTACCTGTATCATATATATTTGAAGGCATTGAGCGATTCAGGCAATTGGAATATTAAAACTATAGTGAAATAGCAATGGTTTCATGCTTAAAATGCACCGCAAACACTAAAACAAAACAAAACAAAACAATTTCAAAACAAAACAAAACATAAAAACAACAACAACTACTATTGACACTAACATGTGAACTGAGAAATCGACTTTTTCGTGCGGGCGCCGGAAAATTTAATAATTCGATCATTGAAGTTTACATAGCTTATTTTTTTTATATTGAGCGTCATTAGACTGAATGTGTTTTTGTCATTATGAATTGCAAACTTAGTCGGTGTTTTGTTATATTTATTCACCTGGCGGTCATCGAGTATTATACTTGCAGTTCATTGCTCAAAAACAAGAGCTGATTCAATTAAACATATATACCACACGGATGTAGCCTCAATCATCAACAGTCGAAATTCTATGCGATTACGCTCAACTTTTTAATATATTTTTCTAACGTAAAAAGACCTGAAAAAATCAAGGATAACAAGTGTTGCTTGCAAGTTTCCTAGAGATATAGGGAGACAGCTATTGACATTACATACTRCATATTCGTAACTCTTTTAGTGTTATTAACTATTAAGTCAAGCACTTAGGTTGAGGTTGAGTCTAACAGATTAATACTAGTATGAGAATTGATATCTGTTTCCTATAATGGTGCGAAAATACTTAAGCCAATAGGAAAGCAAGAATAAATCATGTGATTTAGAAGATTTTTATGAAGATTCCTTCCCGAAGATATTGTCAGGTTTCTACTGGGCTTATAATTGATATTTACTCATTCCTGCATGGCCATTAAGAGCCTTTATTAATGTTGATCAGCGGGTGAAGATGTCTTCAATTTATTTCGCACAAGAGCACGTAAACATACAATATGAATAAAGAAAAAAGTTATTTCGAGTAATCCAGCTTAATTCAACAAGTTCCTGTTAAATCTTATTAAATAACAATCGGCAAAAATTAAAAATGATATGCTTAATAAATGAATACTTTTTTCAGTCTTAGATGATCTGTAAGTTACGATGTACCTCAAACCCGGCGCCACTGTGACACTCTGCCTACTTGGCTTCACTATCGGTATACTACAACAACCTTCCTGTAAAAAAGAACTTTTAATCTTTAAACAATACATTTGAGTATCTGTAAAAGAAAGAATAAAATAACGAATTTTCGAATGAAGCACTTGACGATTGCCGACGTTTCTACTCCGCCAGAAGTTATTTAGATTTTAGCTAAGAGACATTGGGTGGATTTYACTTGTCGATTAATTCACTGAATCCGGTCAGCTGTTGTACTTTCAAATGGAAATATGAAAAAAGTATATACTGAAAGCCTACATAACGAGCTTTAGTATAATCGAGCAGTTCGACAATGGTCGAATTTTAGAGGCGTCCGGAAGAATGCCAAATGTACAAATGGTTTATATTAGGTTAAGGACCCGAAAATTTTGGTTCTCATTTTCTTTTTCTTTTGACTTCTTTTTAATTATATTTTTTTCACTTGGATAAAAATGCGAACGAATCTCTTACGCATTAATCGAGCACCTGAAAAAAGACGGGCTGTCCGCCATTATGGAAATGTTGATGTATACTGTTGTAGCTGTGTCTCGTAAATTTCCGTCCTTTTTGTACTGTTTTGTTTTTCTACTAGGAATTAAAGGAGATATAAAATGCATTAGGAAGATTTGGACAACACTAGGCATAAAAGAGGACTCAGTTAATACAAAATAATTAATACAAATATGTTCGCATGTATTCAAAACTTTGGATGACATTCTAATATGAAACGGTACATATATACCGGTTCAAGTTGYTGTAGATATGATTAGCAGCAATGCAGTATATATTATATACTTTGCGCATGTTTTAAAAGCTGTTCACCTTTGATAGTTTATTTGTAGATCGCTTTTGTACCAAGAAGCTTTTGAAAAAGTTCTGTCACTGARTAAGTTCTATGGTTTTACATAGTGTAAGGTATATTTCTAGTCAGGAGGTTACTAACAATTGCGATTCGATAAATGGTAAACTTAAGCTCCACATTGAATTATTTCAAGCAGGGAAAGAAGATCTTCAGCATAAAAAAAAAGAAAGAAAAAGAAAAACCAGCTCCAACTGTGTCAAATGGTAGGAGACTCATCCGAATGAAATTTCAAATACGCATACAATCTCAAACATCAAGACACTTTATCATGCTAAMCTTTGAAATATGCAAGKTKTGAATATACTTAATTAGCTTACGTTCACCCTTTAGGCCTTCAATTTGGTGTTTCARACATTTCACGGAATTTGCGCATTGACTGATGAGTGTCTGACTAAAACCATAACAAATTTCTAAAATAAGTATGATCATTGGATAGTATCTTCCTCATTACTGTATTTATATTCACCCATTAGGCCTTCAATTTGATGTTTCAGACATTTCAATGAATTTGCTCATTGATTAATGATTAAAACCATAACAAAGTTCTAAAATAAGTATGATCAGTGGATAGTATGTTCCTTATTATTACAGTAGCAAAGAAGAAAATAAAATAGAAGTATTTATCTGAAAATAGTAATTGATAATCCTTTGAAGGTTTTAGATATAGATGCACCTGCCTATGCGCATGCTCACAGAACTGAAAAAGTCTAATTTAGAATAAAAAAAACTTAGAATACGAGCAAACAAACTGACAACTRTAATATTGACGCATAAAAGATCTCGCTTTGATGAGTGCAGTTACAGAAACAAACTTTAGAATAGTGTCTTGTGATATGTCATAAATCGATACCCATAATCAGTCCGWCATATAACACCTGCTCWAGTGATTAGTCTTTGCGCTGAAATATAACGAAAGCTTTTAAAGTCCTTTCTCCTTTTGTTTTATTTCGAACAGGATACCCAATCAATTTCGYCAGTTTTAACAAGTTTCATTTCAAAACAAGAATTAAAACAGCAAGAGGTTTGTGGCTTAGCACAGTGTGTTCAAATCGTCCATCTACTGTGTGTCTACATAAAAGAGTGTTGGTTTCGAAAGGAAAATTGGAATCGCTTTGCGCACTTTTCAGAATGGAAAAAGAAGAAGAAAAGGAGATCCAAAAGATTACAGCTTCGACGCTAATTCAACCCAAGAAAAAAATAAGTCGAAGGTAATAAAATTCTGTTGTTTTATTAGAGAATATTTCAAATCATCAATAATATTATGATTGTCAACATAGCTCTAGCGATTATTAATTGCTGAAACGATTATAAAAGTTCAAAAAATGCAATTAATTGCTGGAAGTTTGTAGGGATTAAAGCAACTGGCCGTGTTAAACGCTAAAATCGATTAACTTCATCGATGTTACTGGCTTCGGCGATAAGGATTCGAAATTATAACGATCGTGCATATTTTTGTTTGTTCTTCTGACTATGTTGACTTTTCAACAGTTGTACTAGCAGTTGACAGTCCGAGGAAATTATGAAAGCTACTGTGAATATTTTAACTGAAAACCTTTCATGTTTTTCTTTTTTTTTAATAAACACAATATTCAGCAACTGATAGAATCGAGAAATTCATTTTAGATTATTTTGATTTGGTAATAGCTTGCTAAATATTATTTATCATTTTCTAATTTAACTATTTATCAAATGTTATTTTTGTRCAAATATGGTTTTAGTTTTATTATTTCTTTTAAGAATGTGCATAAAAGATCATTTTGGATCACTTTGAATAAAATCAAGTAACTCTATATGCCCAAACTCAAATGCCAAAACGATTCAACCTTCTGGTACAGCACCTTGTCGATATCAATTGGCCATAAGAACGTTCAAGGAGAATGGATTTACGTGTTTTTTACCTGATGAAATGACTTCCAAGTCCAACTTTAGCTCATCGCTATCAAACAAAAGTAAGCGCTCGCTCGAAGATAACAATTGCGTCACAACAAAATTTTATGCTGTCAAAACGATTGACTTTCCTAGCCGGTCAAAAAAAAAAATTGCTTTCATTGTTCGTGTTTAATTTGCTAGCCGTCAATATTAATAAATATGAGGTCTAAATTTTGATAAATAAGTGGAAGTTCTTGAAACTCCGTGAGGGTAGTGAAAACCAAAAATCGACAAATATCAACTGATCTTGTTTTTATTTGCTCTTTTGCACTTTTTTATTCCGATCCGTTTGATTTGCTGATTAAAACATGCACTGAATTCTTGTGCAAATCAGAGCTCCCCAGAAGATTGTTTCCGGCACTATTGCCAAAGAAATCATGAGATAGATAGCTATGTTATTCAGAATGAGTTAAAAAAAACCCGAAAATTGAAAAGCGAGAAATTTCAAATTATGGGAAAAAAATGTAAGCTCCTTTATACGAAACGTAAGGCGAAAAAACAAACTCGCGCAATTTTTGTAAATAAATATGTTTCAAAATATGTTTCACTTAAGATAGAAGTCGATAATTGAACTTTTTAAAAACCTTGAAGTAATACTTGTAACACTTGTATCAGTTGATTGATTTTGCAATGACTCWWMAAAAAAAAAAAAAAAAAAWAGTGATATGTGTTTATTGAAATCTATATCGTTAAAAACTCAAATTGCAGAGTAAATTGAGGACGAAGAAAGTTCTTACGTGGCAACACAAGTACTAGCATTAAGAGCCTAGCAATAGCACTATAGCACACTGAAATGACATCACGTGCGAATCTTCTCTGGCGATAGGTACTAAGTTCTCACCGCTTGCTATTATTTCGAAACCATACGCAAAGAACAGGTGTTGAAACGCTATCAAAAAACCTAACTAAACGTCATGATAAAATAGGCAAATTTTACTTGACAAATCGGAAAGATAAAACATCGCCATGTTTGGATAACATATCGTCCACTTCTCAGAAATATTTTGTTTAATTACCATTTAGGCTATCGTCCATTTTTCACGGCTGAGAACACAGAGCAATACATTTTCTCGGATCGGGTGCTTTCGTTTGCTCAATTTTATACCCTTATAACATTTTTACTTACCATCCAACGCTTCACATGATTCATGAATATAAATGGAAATTTAAAAAAAGAGAATTCCATTCTCAAAAGGTCTGAAATTATTATGGGTTAAGAATTGCCCATGTCGTCTGATAGAAGAGGAGAGGTTAAAGTCCTAATTTTTTTAGTGCCATCCATTAATCAATAGTCCGGCTCTTAGATTTTTCTTTTCGCTGCGACGATCGCAAAATCACTTTAGACATTAAACCACATTTATTAATGTTAATCTTTATAGTGTATTGTAATGTTATTTTTTCAGTAGCTATTTGCTATTTTCAGCAAACTTCTGGTACAAAAGATGGTTCTTCGGTGCTTCGTATTATCAATAACCTAAGGTGTCTTATACCTGTACTGAAAAGGTCTATAAATCATCGGTGGCTAATTAACTATCGGCATAGAGCCAACAGAGGCAACTGAAAAATGGCTTACAATTTGACTTCCAAATACCATACTGGCATTTATTTTGGTATCTTTAAATCCTTCAATCATGCTGTCCACGCTGCATATAGCTGATATAGAACTGATGTCGTTACTTACAAAGAACAGATTTAGCTGACAACTGACAGAAGTCAAAATTTATCTAAAAACTTTGACAGCATCATGATGCACATTAGATTTAATTCATATATAGCTATTTTAAGAAATGTTGTCCGATAAAATGGCGAATGTCAATTGTCGAACGGCAATTTTTGGACGACCGAAAGTAGCCATGAGTTTTGCTAATTGATCATGAAAATATCAACTGATTCACACTGTAAGATTCACAATAGGCTCCATTTAGTCTCCACTTCTATAACGTCTATAACCATAGTCCCTTTCGGTCGTGCAATCTTCCTTCGACAATCGCCGATCTCCCCGACAACGTTTTTTTAAATAGGTGTATAAATCCAGAATAGATTGAATTAAAAACTTTTAAACTTGACTCGCCATCATTCTAAAATCATCCAATGATCCAGAAACATATGTCATGCACTTCACTTGCTTGTGTTATCAGTAGAGGATGATTTGAATTTTTTGAATAAATACTTCTTAAATCCTTAAGAAAGGCAAGAATTGTGTAATAAAACTTGTGAGCGTTTAATCGTCTGGGCTGCTTGATTTAAATGTGACTTTGCATCATAAGGGATGCCTATTTGACTTTTTAAAGGGTTAAGACCAATATCACCTCCTTGGAATTCAAATGGTCAGTCCCTAAGAAATGACCTGGACCTGACACCGCAATGGCTTGAACTCTCCTATTATGTCATTTTTGGAAATTCTAAATATAATCTAAAATGTCCGTTATCACATCACTGGAAAACATCGCGCGCTTTTAAGGTTGTAAATTTGATGCAAATGATTTCCATTAAATTTACAGAATTTTGGACACTTACATAATATTTACATCAAATTTACAACCTTTAAAGCGCGCGATTTTTCCCAGTGCATTATCATTTGTCTGATAAAAACGGAAACTATAAGACCCTATAATTTAAAAGTTCTCTTTTAGTTAGTTGATTCATAGATTTTTTTCAGAGCTTTATTACTATACTATATCAATTAGCTTCTTTGTATTTATGTTCTCATAATAAACTTTATTGACTTTTAGGCTTCGCATATCAAACGGTCTTTTCTGGTCAAGGCGTGCTGTCCAACCTTTATCTAATAGTTCAGCTTCACTCAGGTCTTGTGAATACAATGCGGCGTCAAGATGTCAAAGGCACTGGCTAACCGTCAAAATCCTCTCAGTTTCTTTGTTTTCTGTTGTTGTTTTGCTGATTTTATTATCCATGGATGTCAATTCGGCTTTGACTCTTGTAACAAAAGAAAGAGCATTGCAAGAGTCAGTCGGCGTTAGTATTAAAGTGGCAGAATTGATTCACAATCTACAAGTCGAACGAGGGCTAACAGTATTATATATTTCCTCCGGACGTAACGCAAGCAGAGTTGGTGCCTTAAAAAAAGCTCGCGCGAAAACTTCCACATCAATCACGAAAGTTCCTTCGTGGCCAGACGAAGTTCCAAGTCACATATTTCGCTCTCAAGAGGCTTTCACTCAGGAGATCGAATCTCACAGAGAAGTCGTGGACAACAGTCAAAATTCTACAATTGAAAGTGAGATTAAGTACTACACTAATATCATAGACATGTCTTTAAATTGGTTGTTTCAAAGTGTAATGAAAAACACACTGAACGAAAGAATCTTTGACCTTCTTGGCTATTATCAGTTTCTAGTAGCCAAGGATAAGACAGGGATAGAGAGGGCACTTGGCGGTTCTTTCTTTGCACGAGGTTACTTTAACGACACAAAGGACTTGTTATGGTATGCTGAGCAAAAGTTGATTGGTGAGTACCGTATTTACTCGAATAGACGCCGCGGCGTTTATTTCATTTTKCACKATCCAGBTGCGGCGTTTATTCGAGGGCGGCGTCTATTCGGGGGCGGCGTTTATTAAAAAGACACTTTATTCAGTACTACATACCGTACTTTATATTGTATTGTTTTACTAACAAATAGTAACGAATCTCCATATATATGTCGTGTTCATTTTGTCTATTCAATTTATGATTTTAACCAGAGTTAAACTTCTATTTCAACATCAATGTCCTCCTCGTGGTCGGAATCTAACATCTGCTAAGAGCAAAAATGTACAGTCACTTCGAAATAAAAAATGCTCGAAAAGAATATAAATTCCCATTGCTGGTGTCATTATTTCCTCAAATTGACGCTGCACCAAGATGCAGCGTCTATTCGGGGGCGGTGACTATTAATATTTTGAGCTTTAAGTACGGCGTCTATTTAAGAACGGCGTCTATTCGGGGGAGGCGTCTATTAATATTTTGAGCTTTAAGTGCGGCGTCTATTTGAGGGCGGTGTCTGTTCGGGGAGGCGTCTATTCGAGTAAATACGATACTGATGTTACGTAAATGACAAGAAACTCTTACCCTGTAGCTTCTCTCGCTTTTTTGAGAGACGCGCAATGCATCAAGGGAAGGATAAGGGAAAATCGCGAAACGTTAAGTCCGATTCACACACTCATTATTCTTATGTTATTTAATAGTGAAAAAAAAGTGAAAAAATGAAAAGATGAATGAATGAGCGAATATTATTAATGAGCGAAGTTAGATTGATGAACACATGCATGATGGAGAATTGTATGTATTGGATAGGTGATGCGTTTTTGAACTCAAGCAAGGATTTGATGAAGTTTCTGAATGATGAGTACAACGACCTTGTATCGAAAAAAGCAGAAGTTATGAATGAATTGAAAGTGAAACGATCAATCATCTTCGAAAATAAACCAGCGAAAGGGAACGGCACGGCAGGACAAGTCTGGTTCGATCTCATCACCGAGTACATGGAAGTTTTATTTGAAGTTCAGAGTAAAACCAGCCTTAACGTGTCTGGCAGCTTAGAGAAAGATGTAGAACGTAGAGAAACCACCCTGATTATTAGCAGTGCAATCCTTGTGCTTGTTCTAGCCTTGACACCAATTATGGTGGTTGCTGTAGTGCGCATGACAAGCACCATTCAGAAATACGCAGCCCAATTAGAATCCACAACTAAGAACTTGATTGAAGAACAGAAAAGAACAGACAGCGTGTTGTCCGCCATGTTTCCGAAAACCGTTGCAGAAACCTTGAAAAAAGGTGAGCGTGTCAACGCCGAGTATTTCGATAGCGTCACGGTGTACTTCAGCGACATCGTTAACTTTACCAATATTTGTTCGATGATTTCACCCATGCAAGTCACATCGATGCTGAACTCAATATACAGGTAATTTTAAAAATGAATGTATGCGATGCGTGTAAGACTTCATTCCTTTGTTGGTTTATAGGCAAGCAAATCTCGTATTCTGATTGGCTGAAATTCTCAGTATATGAGTAGCAAAGGGGTTGGCAAATAGCACACCGTTCTGATTGGCTGAAATTTGCAGTATATATGAGTAGCACGGGGATTGGCTAATAGCACAAGTTAAATCGGTAAAAAAAGACAGACAGCTAATCATCTACAAACTCAAAACTCAAGCCAGAATGCAAGATTTTAACATTAAAATGTTTAGTTATCAAACTGTTTGCACTAGACGGTCATTTATTAGCACTCAATGTTGTGAATCGATAAAGAAAACCATCCATAAAGTTGCTGTTGTACTGTTTATAATTTTGTCAGCAGCTTGTCTTACAACGCCGTTGCGCATAAGTTGCTGATAAACTTCAGGACAGTGTAACAATAAGTTCATTTATACTTCAATAAAAGGTGGTATTTTTTTCAAGTGCATTTGATGACACCATTGACAAGTTCGATGTGTACAAAGTGGAGACGATTGGAGATGCATACATGGTCGTGTCTGGTCTGCCAATCAAAAACGGTAACAATCACGTGGACCAGATCTGTCAAATGGCGTTTGACTTGCTACAGCTTGCAAAGAATTTCAAGATAGCGGAGGTTCCTGGTGAAGCTCTTGTTATCCGTGTTGGGGTTCACACAGGTACTGGTTATCAACTTAATCGTCGCTATTAGATCATAATACCAATCCAGTTATGAGTTATGATCATGTTTGCCTGTTTTTTTTCAGTTTTGAATATTTCCTTCTCGATTCTGAAATACTGATTAAGAAGTGCCTTGTGTTTAACTGGCCTTGTGATCCCAATCTCAGCATTAGTGATCCGGATCCCAATCCTCAGATATCTGCTCCCACATCCATCCATACATTGTTTTACATACTGCAAAATCAAAGGAAACTTTCACGAAACTGGTCTTCTCGGGCAGGTTTTTAGTGGTTGATTCGAGGATTATGTTTTTTTTAAAGGTCCATGTGTATCAGGCATTGTGGGTGTGAAGATGCCGAGATATTGTCTATTTGGTGATACTGTGAACACAGCGTCGAGAATGGAATCCACTGGACTTCGTAAGTCCAACATTGCTATTATTACTTTAGAATACTCAAATTAAAAACTCCATATAAACATATCAAAAAATAACTTTTGTAGTCATGCATGATATAAAGATTTAGTGTTTAAGATCAAAGAATGTTTCCTGAGAGATAAGAGTCTAGTGACTTATGGAATGCCATTGTACGAACGAAAAGAATGATGGGTAGTTTTTTTTGAATTTTTTAATGTGGTTTTCCCTAAGTTTAAAGTAACATAAGTGTTTTCAGAATAAAAAGTTTTTAATCAACTTTGAACACAGCTCAAAAGATTCACATCAGCGAGACGACTAAGCAGCTGTTGAAGTATTTCGATAAATACGAGGTGGAACATCGTGGACACATCGAGGTTAAGGTACGTAAAACCGAGAATCACACAATTATCTATTATATACTCTATTTTTCTCACTTTCAACATAATTTGCTTTCGTGGATGATTTTTGACTCTTGTCAAAATTCCATTGCAAGTAGGCTTAGTAGCTTAGTAGCTTAGTAGTCTCAATTGATTGTATAATCCATTGTTTTCTATCCTAGGAACGAGACTATTCCCGTAGAATTTAAGAAAAGTCAATATATGATAAACAAAATATTAAATGGTCGCTTGGAGATACAAATTTTACCCTCTCGTGTTGAAAAGATCGCTAGTTTAGTCGTGATGGGTATTGTCGTCAAATCTGTAATCTCCTCGACATGCTCCCACCAACCACCTTGTGATCCTAACGATTAATGTCCCACTTTATTATTCCTATAGGGAAAAGGGCAGATGCAAACATACTGGCTGAATGGCTGTGGCAGGCCATGCTCCCCCGATGAATTGAGCGCATTGGAGTTGACTGAAACAGATTTTGATTCTACCATTTCCTTGCCGGGCAAAGCCCGATGAACTTGACAAACTGATTGTAAATTGCTGAATTTCAGCTCTAAGGGGACGATCAAACGTGGAATTTTACGTGTATCAAATTCAATGTAAATAAGATAACCATGAGACTAGGATGATCATTTACATCGAATTTGATATGAGGTTTTATCATATAATTATCTATGAAATACCTATATTTCTCCATTACGTAAAATTGATATTTTCACTAGTGAAAATAACACATTCGAGGTTTCTCTATATATTGGAAGAAAGAAAAAGGTATTTTTACAACATAATTTGCTTTCATATTTAATTATATGATAAACAGAATATTACACGGTCGCCCTCACTCGTGGGAGATCTTTTCAACACTCGAAGATAAAATCCGTATCTCCGCGCGCCCATGTATCCTCTATATATTCGACTTTTGCCCTAAAAAGCATGAATTTACCAATTTTAAACGAACTAAAAGGTAGCACAGGCGTGATTTCCTTTCCCAATTAAATCTTTCTCCTATGGGAAGAAAGTAAAAATGTTGTTTCTATAGTTTCCATACTAGATCGTTGAAACATTTCATCTTGAAAGCACAGAACTATTTCCCAAAGCTTCAGATAAAGTTTTTTTTTGTATAAACATGCGATAACTTGTTGGTTTGTATTTTCAGAGTGAAAACGTTTGTGTAGAAGTTTATAGACCACCATGGTGAACCATGATTATCAGCATTTATTCCGTAGTTACGCGTGAACTGTGCTTTAGTGAGCCGAGCCCATGGAGGCTGTTCGAGCTATCCGAAGTGGTCATGTGTGCAAAGTGAATCATAGTTTGTTGAAAGTCAACGATGAATTGAAGTATGTAAAATGAAATAGATGAGTAGAATTGATTAAGGAAATACATTGATTATTAGACGCGGTTATGCTAGATACTCATGATCAGTTAAAATATATATATATACGTTGTTGGTGAGAGCAGCGAACGGTGATTATCGTAAAGGAAATTGCATGACTGAAGGGAACTATGGTTACACTAGTTTTACCCCTCTCATGAAAAAATATCCTAGTCAGTTACAATTCCAATCAATTAGCAAAATCCATGGCTCCTTTCAGTCATTATCAATTCCGTTTGAATTATAGGTTAGCACTGTTGGCTTGTTGTTGTTGTTGTTGTTGTTGTTGTTGCTAAGGTTATTTTTGTTAGTGTTGTTGTTGTTGTTGTTGTTGTTAAGGTTATTTTTGTTAGTGTTGTTGTTGTTGGTGCTAATGATGTCGTTGCTGTTGTTCATGGTATTGTTGTTCTTGTAGTCTTTATTGGTGTTAATTTTTGTTGATATTGTTATATTATATCGTTGTTATTGTTATCATTGTTGTTGTAATTGTTGTTGCTTTAGCTGTCGTCCCTATGCCAGTACGACAAATAAGATATATGTAAATAAGTAAAGTTAAATATGTAAATATAAAAACGACGAGGATACGAGTTAATATAACTAAGAAAATGTTCAGAAAGTATAATAAACAAAACAAAGGAGAGATGTTTTATGCGTGTTAAGATTGGATCGTGAGTTGCTGACCACAACGAATAGGCACCGTGTACCTAACCCTAAATGCTCAAACCGCTACCGTAAGTGACCGATTTCTACGCTGCATTTTCGAAGAGCTGTTTCATGAAAGGACATCAGGCAAAGCGATAGAAAAGGATCGAAGGAAGAGAAAAATAATCGCAGTATTAATTCAAAGCTACGTTTATTAGGAGCGCCAAGGACACCGAAGGAACGAGAATGGAAGGGCGCAACCCGCTGCGCAACCAGTGACCATAATAATGAAAATCGAGAGATGCGCCTAAACCATGTCACCACAATAAAATACGATATTCTAAGTACACTTCCAAATCACCAAATCTTATTTTATTATTATTATTTTTTCGAGACGTGGCCAATCTTTGTTAAACAATTCCACACCATGCAGTTAAATCGCTTATTTGAATTTGAAATGCGAAGTCATTGTCAGCTCATTGTTCCCAATGGCTTTGATGTTTTTGGTTTCATTCAATAAAATAAGATAAAGTCTTTTGGTTGAACTGAATGCCGTAAGATAGGGAACTTCGAGTTTCCAGACGCCATATTTTGATATTGCGAAAGATGACTTGCCTTTATATTTGGTAAAGCATGTGAAAAGTCAAGAAAGTTGACTCGTTGTAGGGGCTGTGTTTTAACCAAGCCGGGGGGTCTGCACCCTTCGAAATAGCTTGAACAGTTTATAGGAACACAATGACCTTTTTTCTTTAATGAAATAGTTTAAAACATTTAAAACATTAATAATTTAAAACTAGACAGCAACATTAATTAGAGTCAAGACTGCATGATGACAAGGACTGCTCGATTGATAATCCTCTTGTTCACTGATGCCTCGTCGTATGATAGACGACTGTGCGTTGGGATTAAGGAGTAAGCCTTCCTTGTCTCAGCAATTTTCTACATAATGTGGAGACATCACGGAGGCGAATAACATCAAGAAATCCGCAACCTAAAATACCGTGAATCAAATTTAATACATTCGTGATTTAAGGAATAAAAGACGAAATTCCGTGTTTGATACTCTGATCAAAACACGCGGAATGTAGGGAGAGCACGAGAGAAGCGTAGGAAACCACGACGCGTAGCGGAGTGGTTTCCAGCTTTTCGAGTGCTCTCCCTACATCCCAAGTGTTTTGATCAGAGTATCAAACACGGAATTTCGTCTTTTATTTCTTTTCTAAAATTAAAAGAAAAAGAGAAATTTTTGACGTGCGCGAGCGTGTTTTGATACTGTAATCAAACATGGTTTTCGACCAATCACAGCGCGCGTAGTATCCTAAATATTTTAGAAAATCCAATAATCCGTCTGCTTTATATAATGAATGTAAGCACCATATTTTCAACTTGAAAGAGCTAAATACCATAGCTACGTTTACTTTCGCCTATATCATTTATGAATGCCTGCAATCACTTAATGACAAAGACGGGGGGATGCACCAGACACTCTTTAACTCAAAAAAATCATATTATATTACGACATTTTGAATTAAAAAAACACTTCTTATGTAATGAGCACTGGAAAAAATCGTTCACTTTAAAAGGTTGTAAATTTGATGTAAATATTATGTAAGTGTCCAAAATGATGTAAATTTGATGTAGATTTGATGCTTAAATTTGATGTAAATTTACATCAAATTTACATCATTTTGGACACTTACATAATATTTACATCAAATTTACAACCTTCAAAGCGCGCGATTTTTTCCAGTACTTTTAGTACAGTACCAACGTGTTATATGAAGTTTTTTGAAAAACATTGGATCACTATTTCCGATCCCAAGTTTACATCTGAACCTGTAACCTGTCATTCCCTCCCCCCTGTCCACCTCCCTCCACTCAATAATTTCTGGATCCGCCCATACTGAGGGATAGTAGCTCGGAAAAACTAATTGCACATACTTTTCTTTATAACCCTTAGCTTTTAATATTTGCCTTGAATTCCTTTTTGATGTATCGTCTATTTGTACTCACCTACATAATAATTACGAAAAAAATATCAATGTTAACAGACAGCTTGAAAACTTTGCTGCAAATTAAATGCTTATTTGAAGTTTACTCTTTCTAAGGCAACGTCATTGGGGGCCTATGATATCATGTCGTTTGATTCTTATTTCGTCGTCGACAGAGATTTACACAATCTGTAAAAGCATTCTGTCAAACGAATTAAAATGATTCTTCGAGGGTCTACTTAGACAGCAGACAGGGTCTGCTTTAGCATGTGAATTTTTCCCGCATAAGGCACTTAAAAGAAGAGTTTATTGTGGAAATAAAATGAATGAATGAAATGAATGAATGAATGAATGTCCCAGCTATCCTCATTGTGTTTTTCGTCTTTCCAACCAACATGTTATTTCCAATTGCCTCATAAAAAGTAATATCAAAAAGCTTTTTTGAATTTTTTACAAACAAATCGAATCAAAACATATAACAATAAAACTAATTATTAAAGGTTGATATGGTAACGGACCAAGGAGGATTTTCTAGAAGGAAAAATGCAAACAGTAAGGATTATTGTACGACTTATAATAAAAGAGACGGCGACTGCTTATTCATTGTTGGTTTCTCACTCAGCAAGGTTCGATCCAAGCTATGGCTGTGAGATTATCATTGGTTTTACTAGTTGTGGCTCTTGCCGAAGCTCATATGCCATGGCCGCCACCACGATCCAGCTCGCAAGTTCGTCATTCTGGTATGAAATCATGATATGTTTTGCTGTATTGAGATGTTCCAAAAACATTTCTATATTTAATTGGCGCTTTTGAAAGCAGAGAACTTTGAAAGCTCATCTACTCGTATGCAGAATTTTGAAAACGACGAATCGGAAATGCAATTACTATACTATAGCCAGGACTGAACGCAGCTAGTGCGATCAAATTCGTTGAAGACATAATTTCTGATTAAAATAGATGTTTAATTTTCAAATTTAACTAAAAGTTGTTTTGATAATCTGCTTATTACGATTCGAGGTTGAGGTTGCACAGATAAGTTCTCGAAGCTGGAGTTTTAACTCTTCTATATCACAAAAGTAATTGAAGTTGAATCTGCATGAAAACGTTTTCTTCGTTGTAGTAATCTTCGACCATAGGTGTGACCTATCGCCTCCTTGTAAAAATGGTGGAACTTGCATTAAAATAAACATGTATGGGTATCGATGTAAATGTCCTTCTCCATACAATGGCAAAAACTGCGATAAAAGTGAGTACGATGTTCCATTGTTTGTTATTCTACATGTAGTTGTTGCTTCAGTTTATTAGTGTTTATTGCAATGATCATATATTTTCTTATAAGCTATTCCATTACCACCAACGACATCGTCGATCCGACCTCAACCGACACCAACCGGCAAGTATGATAATAAATAATCATAAATAAGGAAAATGTCATTATACTTCCAATGGCAGACACAGAGCGATGGGTCTCTCTGATGTGGATCTCCTGCCCGCATGGGAAATATTTAATCGTGAGGGGGAGAGGTAGGGGTAGCCCAAGGGGTAGAGTTTTGCAAGTCTTATCCGATTGGTTTACTAGCTAATTGTTAAATAAAAGAAAACAATTTGAGAACGACGAACCAATGCATTGTCTTATTCCTCCAATCACAAGAAACCTTACACACTCGTGAAGGATAACAGAGAGGTAG